AAAAAGAATGTGGTCCAGTTTCATAAAACATAATTATAGTGTAAAGAAACAGTAGTTGTGTATGTAATTACAATGACGGAAAATAACTATGGAGTAAAAGCAGGAGACGATGTTGTGAACTTCCTGTGGGATAAGTATAAAAAAGACAGGAGCTTACATTCACTCTGTCTACAAGAGAGAGTTAACTTCGTATATCTTCTACAGTATGGAAAACACAAAGGTAAGATCAATCTTGTTAAAAATATTATACTATATTCATTGTTGTTATATACATATTTCATTCTTGTTGTTGTTAACAAATAACTATAGTAATTATGACTAATATGTCTATAAGATTCCCCACTCATACATGATACAACATGATTCATCATGTCTTTCAATTTCATTGTTATTTTTTAACACACCTCTATAAGATTCCCCACTCATACATGATACAACAACATGATTCATCATGTATGACTAATATGTCTATAAGATTCCCCACTCATACATGATACAACAACATGATTCATCATGTATGACTAATATGTCTATAAGATTCCCCACTCATACATGATACAACATGATTCATCATGTCTATAAGATTCCCCACTCATACATGATACAACAACAACATGATTCATCATGTCTTTAAGATTCCCCACTCATACATGATACAGCAACAAGATTCATCATGTATGACTAATATGTCTATAAGATTCCCCACTCATACATGATACAACAACAACATGATTCATCATGTCTTTAAGATTCCCCACTCATACATGATACAGCAACAAGATTCATCATGTATGACTAATATGTCTATAAGATTCCCCACTCATACATGATACAACAACAACATGATTCATCATGTATTTTCCAGAGAGACAAACTATCAGAATATTCTCATGAGTATCCACTGGGAAATGACTGGTCTTTTGTGATTGTAATATTTAATCATGAAGTGAAGCTACACATTCGTCAATACAGAGACTCTGAAATTGTCACGATATACCTTCCTAAAGAATGTGTAAGGTTTATGCATGTTGAATGGCAATAACTTAAACAATTGATACCATCATTGATTAGAGCTATATATATATATACATATATTTGCAATCTATTGAGGAATTTGGTCTGGATCATCATAAAAACATTAGTAGTGTTCTATGCAATGAGTCATGAAGCTTGCCTATTCTGTTTACAGCCCAATATAATGTTAATAATTATCATATCAAGTCATATAATTTTTAACAAGTCTGAATGGTATCGATTATGTGAACATGCTTATTATATTGATTAATATTTAAATCAATTAAAACAAACTAATCAAAAACCACATCTAACTGCATTAATAATAATGTAAAAATTGTTATTCAAAGTTTATACTAAACATGTATAACATGTGTTTTGTTAGATCATGATGAAGTCGATGATCCCGTCAAGCTGCTTATACATGTGTGTTGTTAGATCATGATGAAGTCGATGATCCAGTCAAGCTGCTTATACATGTGTGTTGTTAGATCATGATCAAGGTATCTGTTTATATTTCAGGACTGTTCTGACTCAAAAACAATATATTAGAAGTGTTTCCAGAGAGAGCTAGTAGACTAAACATACATAATTTTAAAAATTTAAATCCCGTTGAATTTATTGAAAATGATGAACATATTCAAGAGCTACCTGATTACCTCTGTAAAATAGGTTAAACACATGAAACTGAGTAATTATATTCTACATCATCATGACAAATAAGAAATATTTTCATCAAATATGTTTTGTTTCACCACATGATCAACAACTAAGGCTATTATGATTTAAGTAGATTAATATTTCCTATGTAAGCTGATTAATGTAATTCAGTTTGTGAAGGCAGACCAATGGAATCAAAATATTCTCCTTTCTCATTTTACACAAAGTAAATACAGACCAAGTGATATCCAGGTTTATGAATCAGATCCAAATTGACAATGTACAGCTGTTTGTCTGCATGATTAGGTAGCTGATCACTGAGAAACACACTTCCCAGCTTATTCTGTGTATACAAATCTTTTGAGAGTACAGAATATTTCCGTACAGTGTTCATTGCTTCTTAGATGTCAGTGATGATGTTTCTAGACTGATCAATTTCTAAAATGGACTGACATTCTGCATAGGCAAAAACATTAAAAACATTTATAGTGTTTAACAAATCATATATCAATATGTATATTTCCCTGTTTCACCAAGTTAAATGTAAATCATCAGTGGATAGACCCAATGTAAGACCAAAGACAAGGAGTGTGTATCCTCCCGAGTATTCATCATATTCGATTCTTTTATCTTGAAACTGTTTTTCTGTTACTCTAAATAATGTTTTGTATCTTTGTGCATATAAATCAACATCAAAATTGGGTTATAGTGGCCATGCAGGAATCTGGTTTCCATCCATATTGATTACCAGGAAATATATATTGTAATGTTTGAAATTATATGGATTTTGCTTCCAAGATCCATTAAAAGCATCATTATCAACACATTCTATAACAAGATGTGTAGGTACTTGACTTAAAACGCTTTACTGATGTCACGTCCTGATTGTAGACAGAATGAATATAAGCTGCTATTCACATCTTTTTATACTTCTTCTACAGGAAGTTAGCAATGTCATGTCCTGCTCTTACTCCATAGTTATCTTCCGTTATTGTAATTACATACACAAATGTTGTTCCTTTACACTATAATTATGCCTTATGAAACTGGACCACATTATTTTTAAACTATAATTATCTTTAATTATTGTCAATACTTGGCATCATGTTATGATAATATGTTATTAGCTACTGTAATTAGATATATTTGATTCACGCGAAACTCGAAACATGCTTTAATTATTTTCAATAATTGGCATCACATTATGTGAATCTGTCATTATCTACTATAATTAGATATAGTTGATTCATGCAAAATTAAATCATGCTATAATTATTGTCAATAATTAGTGTCACATGATGGAAATCTGTCATTATATAGTTTAATTAGATATGATTGATTCGTGAGAAAATCACCTATATAATTATTGTCAATAATTGGTGTCACCTTATTTTTAAACTATAGTAACGTGCAATTTTTGTCAATAATTGGCGTCACGTCATAAGAATCTGTCATTACATACTATAATTAGATATGATTGATTCATGTGAAACATGCCTGTAATTATTGTCAATATTTGGCGTCACGTCATAAGAATCTGTCATTACATACTATAATTAGATATGATTGATTCATGTGAAACATGCCTGTAATTATTGTCAATAATTGGCGTCACGTCATAAGAATCTGTCATTACATACTATAATTAGATATGATTGATTCATGTGAAACATGCCTGTAATTATTGTCAATAATTGGCGTCACGTCATAAGAATCTGTCATTACATACTATAATTAGATATGATTGATTCATGTGAAACATGCCTGTAATTATTGTCAATATCTGGCATCATGTCCTGTAATTATCTCTTATTTCTTTAATCTATAATTATACTATAATTGGCTGTTATAGATAATTAACTGTTCTGCCATCATCATGCTCTCTGGTTGTGACGTCACTTCCGCCACCAGAGTGCCAGTATAACTACTTTAAGTTAATCCATAAGTAGACTCAACCAAAAAATAGCGACAAGCATATCTATTTTCATGACTGTCGATACATCTCAGGAGATTGGGTTAAACTATAAATAGATTCGACAAATAGTAGCTACCAGAGTTCCAATTTTCATATTTGTTAATACATTTGTCGACATTAAAATATCTCTGTTTATTCTCAACAGTCCATCTAAACGTAAATACACAAAACGATTAATGATTATGTTAGGAGCTGTTGCTATGGGCAACGTCTCTAGTGAGCTCTTCTTAGGCTACGTTTTGATGTGCTTACGTTAACTTCAGCAAGTCTAATTCTGCGATTAATGATTACTTATATATTTATACGAGAAATGGATTAAAACCCAGAATACACACAAAGTTTTAAATATTGTTATAAAAATCGAACCCATTCCTACTTAATTTTTTAATAATTTGTTGAACAGATGGTAAAAGCACTTTTACACATTTTGGTTTAAATATTACAACAATTTTAGTTTTATCATTTATCTTCATTTCTAGTTTCTTTAAACATTTGTACAAAGAATTGAATTTATCTAAAAATGTTCTAATTAGCATCAATAACACCAGGTTTTTAGCACTTTTTCAAATTTCTTATCTTGGTAGCAGAAAAACTAAGATCCTCTAGTGTTACCAATATAATATAATATTTTATTAAATAATAAGTTTTTTACTGGATTTCTAAGCCTTTCTTTGGGATGAGTTATCTGTAGTGTGCCTATTACAGGGATCAAGTCCAATAATTTAGTGTTATAAACCATTAACTTAAGATTGAGCCATCGGGAAGGGGCTCTTTCATAAAGGGTTATTTATACCTAGAATTACAAAGGTATACTAACTTATATCAATTTTATAACATATTCCCAGAAACTGCTAAGAACATGTATCTATACGAATGGACAGCAACACTAAGTTAATTTAGGCTACAAATGGTAGAAATGTAGGACAGTTAGATTAATATGAAACATACAGTTTTTCACTTGTGTTTAAAAGGCCATAGCATTTCAAATCCTACGCTTTTTGTAAATTATAATACACCGGTACATTCCCTATAGCTTTTTTTATATATCGCCCTTTCAGCCGTGGGGGCGTTATAATGTTACGGTCAATCCCACTATTCGTTGGTAAAAGAGTAGCCCAAGAGTTAGCGGTGGGGAGTGATGACTAGCTGCTTTCCCTATAATATTTCACTGCCAAATTAAGGACGGCTAGCGCAGATAGCCCTCGTGTAGCTTTGCGCGAAATTCAAAACAAAGAAACAAAGAAAGGCTAAATCGAAATATATAAACTTGACTTATGTAAATCGAAACACGAGCTTTAAAGAACACAAATTTATTCTACAGTCATACACAACAACGCGCTTACACTTTGCGTGTGTAGGTAATCAGTAATCATTGTCTGTAGGATTGCATCCCATTCCGTGGGGATCGGTCGACACGTGTTGTTCGTGTCTGGTGAATGGCCAGGCCATCATGGCAGAGTTGTACTGCCCCGAATATCTTCCCGTCACAGGGAGTGTCTACTCATGTAAATGTCTCTATTCAGCACTACATAGTTATTGCTCCATAGCCAAGGATTAATTGAAATAACGATGGGTTTTATTGTATTTAAGCTCTTCTTAAACTTAATTATTGAGAAAAATGTTTTGATGGGAAAGTTTTGTGTAATTTACATAATTTCTGTTTGTCTGGTATTTCGCGAGTAATTAACTCACGTGTGAATAAGTACTGTTTAAGAGGTTTTTTTCAACATATAGCTATGTGGCGGAGAGCGTTTTAAAAGTAAAGTTTGCAATTTTCACATTTGTCAACATGTTTGGTGTGACGGGGATTCGAACCCGCGACCCTCAGATTGCGAGTCGAGCGCCTTAACCACCTGGCCATGCCGATTTAGTCATTTACAGTCTCAGGTTTCCAATGTTGTAGCTCAAGAAAGCTAAATGAAAATTAAAATATAGTTAGGTTACTAATTCTTTTGAAACTTAGCCTCAGAACAGTCTATCTATCTATATCGTGTACGTTTATGTGTAATTAGTTAATTTCACAATTAGGATTTAGCTTTAAGCTAACAGGAGAATGGAATCTGACAAGCTGGTAAAAAGCATTCTATTTTTGTTGTTCATTTGGACACATCTGTTAAATTATTTCAAAACTGGCGAAACGGTGAAAACATTTATTCTAATTTAACAGTTGTTGCCTGTTTTATTGTAGTTAATAAGAAATTTAATCCAGTTTATCCTTTTCTCTGGTTGCTAATCGTTGTTTTGTTTCTCAAGCAAAGCTATAACTTCATACATTTATTTTTTACGCAAGAAGCTTTCTGATATACACTGACAGTGATAGATAAGCCATAAAAAAAAGAGGAAAACTGTCTCGAATCTCAAAAAGTTTTCGTGACACTTCTTGACAATCTGTATTCAACTCCGCGATATAATATCTCAAACTGTAGTATTCAGAGCATGAGATGAGTGAGGTAATTTTAAACAGATCGTTCTTGGACTTATACATGACCAGTTTAAAAAACTTTAAATTCCGGACCTATAGTTATCTGTGTAGTTATCATTTGTTTTTTGTTGTTAAGCCCCAAAACTGTATAGCGTACTATGTTCGTTCTATCCGTCAACCACGAGACATTTTGGGATACTCATTGGCAGATTAAAGGGTAGCATATTTTGGTGTGAAGGGGATTCGAACCCGCGACCCTCAGATTGTGAATCGAGTACCCAAACCACCTGGTCATGGCCGGACTTTTGTTTTCTAATAATAATGGTAAAAACAAAAATGTTCAATACTTTACAGATTAAAGTTGTGAAAGAATGATGCACCTTTTCTTGCTACACGTGATACAGGAGTACAGCCTGGACTAGATATGATGTCTAACGTTGTATTAGTCTGATTAATGAACTTATCTGTGTGCATTATAGATGACGAAAAGAAACAATAGAATAAAGGTATCACGAAAAGAACAGTTTGATTCTTTATCAAATTAAGAAAATGAGCTTTAGACGTTGTATTGTTTGAAAGAGTTTATTTAGAGTATGTGCCTAATAACGTAATTAAAGCTGAAAGTAAAAATAAGTAACTGACGTTATTCAATGAGAATTTTAATCCAATACTTAAGACGACGCCATCGTTTAGGGTTAGATATAGAACTTGTTTGAATACATGAATATTCATCTCTTGTCGTATCTTCTGCGGATCCAGTTTTACAAGAAACAGGTAATTAATTGAATTCGAAACACACCATCCTTTGTGTATGTAAAATCTTCAAATCATGAGAGTTTTGAACTGAAAACAGCCAGGGCGGCCTTTGTAGAAAGTAATAAACGTGCCTTGTCGCAATATTGTTATGGTAATTGCAACTAAACCAAACGTTCTTTGTAAGGGAGAACAAAATATACTGCGTAATTAAGGATAAAATGTAAGTTTACTCTAATGAACAAACCCACTCAACTGAAAAATTTATATTTTTGATGTCCTTTACATGAAACTTAAAATAGAATA